ATAAACTGGCAGTGGTAGTCCCAGTGGTTATCAGCACACTGGGTGCCATACCAAAAAACTTTGGGTGGCACTTAGAAAATCTGTGCATTGACAAAATTTCCATGTGTCAATTACAAAAGGCCACACTGCTTGGATCTACACATATACTATGCTGATATATTACAACATCCTGGGTTCTTGGAAAGAACTCGATGTGAATGAAGGCCAACACCAGCTAAAGAATTGGCAACTGTGATTTTACGTCGTTAGGTATACAATAATAATAATTTGTTAAATATATATACTGCTTGATTGACATTAAAGAGGGTTGGACCAAATGATCCTTGTTGTTCCTTCCAACTCTGCAATTCTGTGATTATATGGTTTTGATCTGATATTTGCCTCAGTAGCTGTAACGGTGTGTGGGAAAAGCCTTGGGAGGCAGGGTGAAGAGATGCTGCCTAGGGAATGGTCAGATAAGAGAGGGCATAGCCCGCAGCTGCATAGTGGGTGGAGCAACAGGCTCAGAAGGGACCTTCCCTAGCTTTTCAGGCTGTAAAGGAGACAGCGGGAGATTTGTACTTTCAGACTTGAAAGATTCTGTTAATGTAGCCTTACAATAAAGTAGAATTAGCTCATCTGGTTGTGTTTCCTGACTTGTCTACCTGGGAAGGCTCTACTGAATGTTAATGAAGATATATTGTGTACAGTTCTTTACATACAGTAGATGATAACCCTCACATAATCTATAGTTAATAAGGAGCAACAGCATTCCATATGTATGAGAGATAGTGTGGTGCAGTAGTTAATGTGCTAGACTAGGAGCAGGAAGGCCTGGGTTCTAGTTCTCCATTAGACAGGGAAGCCAGTTGGGTGACTTTGGGCCAGTCAGCCTCAGGTCAAATCAGCCTCAGGCTCTGTGATGAACCAGTTGAAGAACAAAACCTCTTGTTGCATCATGCATTGATAGTTTTGCTTATGTGAACTAAGTGACCGCAGAGCAAAACACATGGACCCTGAAACCAAGGAAAACATTGTTCTGTATGTGAAGGAAGTTGTCTGAAAAAAGCTTAGTATATTTTCAGAATTATTGTGTGATAGTCCTTTCCATGTGTGTTCACACACACACAAAAAATATAGGCACTAGTTGCAATAATTTTAAATGCAATGCTATTGCTGCTAGACTAGTGAGTTTTTTGTAAATTCCACTTAAAAAGATGATAGTGATATATGTAGTATTTGCAGGTATGTTCCATGGAACTTTCATGAACCTGAGCCAGGAGTTTACAACTTCACTGATGACAGAGATCTGGAATATTTCCTGAAACTTGCTGATGAGATTGGCTTGTTGGTCATATTGAGAGCGGGGCCTTATATATGTGCAGAATGGGACATGGTAAATATTTTCTTGTTTATTCAAGTTGACTTGCTCTTACAAGGTGAAGACTGAATAATCAAGTCACAAAAAATTCCTATGGGATGTAAGAAAGTTTCACAATCAATGTTAGGAAAATACCCTCATTAGGCTAAATCAGTGGTCACAAAATATGTGATTTTCAGTTGTGTCTAATTAAGGTATTGATCCTTAATAAGAAATTTGGAATACAGTTATATGCAGTTTATGAATTACGCTTTACCTATAGTCTTCTCCTCCATGGAATCAGAGCCACCTAGTATTACTGGGTGGTCGGGTAGAGGATTCTCTCATAATCATAAACTATAATGATATCTACCTTACTTTTCTTGTTTTAAGGAATAAATGGCAATAATTATAAATTATTGTAAATTCTACAGTTATAGTAGAGATTATTTTAAGACATGGACTAAAACTACTCCCTACGATCTGCATCTTTTTTTATTTCCACAAGAACCACATAAAGTTAACCCAAACCATTTTATGCTCAACATAATTTTCATATGATTTTGTATGCTTGGAGAGAGAGACCCAAGAAACTCAGTTTTTATATAGGATTGTTTTCAGTTAATCCAAGTAAAAAATGTTTCCCAAGCCTGCTATTGTATTCATGTCCTGCTGTAGACTTCTCAGAGTCACCTGCTTGGCCAGTGTGGGAACTGAATGCTGGATTACACAGAAACATTTAATCTGATCCACCATGGTTCTTTATATGTACAGTTGCTTAGAACAATTCAGTTTCAAATAGCATGAGCAATATTAGCACCAGTAATTTTGGTCAGACCCTAAGACATCATCCTTGTCATAGATAGGCAGTTCTGTCATTGATATTGCCAGAATCCCAAAACCTAGGAGTTCTGCCTTCTTTAAGACATGGATATGGAACCATTCAATATCCTTAGCATTCTGCATATGCTTTAATCAATTCTGCCAAAATTAAAGGAAACTTTGTATAATAACATTATTCTGCTAAATATCAGAGGACAATGCCTTATGCAGTCTTAGAATTGTTCTCTTGGCTAATGATTGTAAAGGCCTCCTTCCACTCCTGCTGACTTGCTAGAGTGGGTATTCCCAGGAAGAATATATACATGTTTATCATTCTTACTTTATAGGGTGGTCTACCTGCCTGGTTATTAGAAAAAGAATCTATTGTCCTTAGATCTTCTGATTCAGGTAAGAAGATAAAACTACTCAACAAAAATTGTATTATGGTATCTGTACTTGTAATGTTTGGAAATAGGATGAAAATAAAATCAGGCCAATAAATGTGTGCTTGCGATCCCACAAGTATGAGAGCATTCAGATAAATAGTGCTTTTTATATTTGGAAATCTGCATAACAGGGAAAATAGAAGATGGCTTAGCAGTGTAGACTAGCTTTTAAAATATTGTGGAATATTTTAAAATATGCATATGTAGTATAATGGCTAAGAGTATCAGACTAGGGCTGAGAAGACCCAGATTCAAATCCTTTTTCAGCCATGGACCTCACTTGCTAGATATGGCTGTGGATTGTTATGAAGGTAAAATGTATGAGAAATGGCAAAATGTAAATGTAATGCCCACGCTTTAAGAATAAAGATCAAGAAAAAAAAGGCTTTTCAGAATGAAGGAAAAATATAGGGTGGAAAATCTCATGCATCTCTATTTAATTATGCATGACAGAGGCAAGCAGTTGTGTTGCCTAATTCTTAGACAAAATGGTGACAATATAACAAGGCTATGAGTAATTCTAGCCAACTAGCTAAATGGGCAAAGGAATGGAAGATGCAGTATAGCATCTGGAACCTTCTGTTGGGACTTAGGAATTTGTATTTTGCATGCTGTTGGGATGAAACTGGATGGGGCTGTTTGGAAAAGAATGTTCTATAGCTTTTGGGTGCAGCACAATTTATAAAAAACAATATAAATAATGCTTTTCTGTAATTATTTTTAAATGAAAAATAATACTCATACTGCCATTGCAGACCTGGTTCATCAGAGGAGGTCCTTCTGTATGTGCCAAAGACCATAGAATGTCATCTTGGGTTGCCTACAGTTGGACCTTCTCTGGAATATTCTTCCCCCTGAAATTCCTAGAACACTTTCCATGTCATCTTTTAGGCACCTCTGGAAGACCTTTATACCCTGCCCTTCATTGTATGAAAGTTGAATGAATGGTTTTGCTTTTCTTTTTTCTCCTCCACTCTTTTAATGAATATGTTATTTTGAATTTTGAATGTATTACTTTTATTACAGTATTTTATAATGTAAATTGCTTTGAGATGTATGACTATGGACAGCTATATTGGAATATATTATATAAATAAATGTTTTAACTCTCTGTTATATTTTTGCAGACTACTTAGCAGCTGTGGGAAGATGGATGAGGGTCTTACTACCAAAGATGAAATTTTACCTTTATCAGAATTGGGGCCCAATTATTATGGTGCAGGTAGAATTATGTAGAGTAATAATAAGTTCTACAACTTTCAAGCTCAATTTTTTTTTAAAGATCCTGAATGAGATTAATGTGTTTATTTGGAACTGTAATTCCTAAAGCAGTCTTTTAAAGTTTTTGGATTTCAACCCCTATAAACTGCAGTCAAGTTGGACAGACCCATCTGATAGGCACCAAGTTAGTAAATGCTGCACTAAACATTTTATCATTTTAACGCAATTGATGTCATACTCACTTTGGGATATAATCTTAATGCTGAGGTGGTTATTTAGAAACCATGTAGACTTATGAAATGAGTCTCTTGTTTGAGCAGCTAGTGCTGCCAGGTGGCATATCTGCAAATTCATACCAATTCAATTCATTTTTTATTTTCTAGATTTTATTCAGTAATTAACTCAGCGTGGTTTCTAAATTATTAGGGCTCATTCCAGCGAAATGGAGTGTTTAAATTTCTGCACATCTAATCCACAATCTCTTTCATGTCTAAAAAATACATTCATCTTTCTTTCTCAAAATGAGAGCTTATAAATGAGGCTGAGGTTTGAAAAATTCATACTGTCTGAAAAATGGAACTGATAATCTCTGCAGCCTAAAATGCAGCACTTCTGAGGAAGATGTCCTCAGATTTACATCTGAAAGACAAAACCTGGAGCGTGGAATTGACCTCATAACAAGCCAGCTTCCCAGCACAGCTTTTGGAATAGATTGGGATCTGTGTTACATCCTCACCTACTTCAGTTGAACTTGGGTATACTTACCACGTAATAAGTATCATTAAGGATAAATTGGACATACTTTTGAGTAGATGTGCTCGTTAGAACTCAAAGAAAGGGGAAGTAGAAACGTGAAGATATTAAGTAAAAATGAAGATTATGAAGAATATGCAATTCAATGTAAATTATATAAATAAAAAAGACTTTTCTATGAAACAGCTACTTTTTCACTATTTCATTGGCCACTTATCTGATTGTGTTTAATCATTTGGTGGTTGTCCAATAACAACATAAAAACTTGAGCCTAATCTTCTGAGATATGGCAGGATTTATCCCTTCAGAAGAGGCAACTGTGCCTGAAAATCACTTCTAAATCAGTTAGAAATTAGAATAATATTGGCAGTGCTATTTAAAGGACAAAATTAATGTTTTGTCTTCAGTTTAGCATGTGTCACCCCTCTTAAGCTAAAATTCTTACAGCAGGCTAAAAACGGATTAAATAAATATAATCTGGCACCCTATTCTCCCCAAATAATTGCCGTTTCATGCTTTCCACTTATAATTAATGGAGAATTGAGGGTGGGTGGGTTTTGGAGTTAATGTTAAGATTTGACCCTAAATGTCAGATCTGAGCTCTGAATTGTCAAGTCTCTTCCTCAACTGAGAACTTTTTCCCAGTCTTTTCCCTTAAGGTAGTGTAGTTAAAACAGCCTCATTTTGAGTGTTAGCAGGGATGTGCAGAGGAAACTTATTTCATTTAAACTTCAAGGTTGCCCACATAATTTCTATGACTCCTTATTACTATCTAGTAGGCATCCAAATTAGTACTGTAGAGCCAAATTCCAGGTAACAGCATATAAAGCCTGATGGGGTGGGCTTTTTGTAATATTCTTATAAAATTTGCTAATATGTTTATATGTGGTTTTGGTATGGTTATGAGTTATATGTTAGTACTATCTGGGATTTTTTTTGTCCTATATTTAATGTTGCTGTTTTTTGACCAGTGTTGTTTTTTTTTCATTTCACTTGAAGTTTCATGTTGCTTTATACTTTTTCCTACTGAACTTCGTGTATGTGTGGGTGTTTTTTTGTTAGGTTGAAAATGAATATGGAAGTTACTTTGCGTGTGATTTTCATTACCTTCGTTATCTTAAGAACCTTTTTCGCCAGTACCTTGGGAATGAAGTAGTCCTGTTTACAACAGATGGTGCAACCAAGGTTTTTTTGCGCTGCGGAGCTCTTCAAGGCCTTTATTCAACGGTGGATTTTGGACCAGGTGAGTGGCATTTGAGATTGCATTTTATCTTGAAAATAAGCAGTTTAGATAGTCAGTTAGTAGACACATGAAGCTGCCTTAAACTGATTCAGGCTTTTGTTCAGCCTGGCTCTGCATTATCTGCTAGGTTGACTGGTGGCTACTTGCTACATTGTTAGATGTTTCCCAGCTAAGAATCTGGAAGTTAAATTTGCAGCCTTTTGTGTGCCAATTGTGTGCTTTGTATTGAGTTCTCTAGCTTTTCCTAGCATAAAGTTTTTAAAGTATAAACCCCTCCTTTTACTAACCTAGGGCTTGTATAGAATAAACTACAGGTAGTCCTCGACTTATGACCATTCATTTAGCAACCATTCAAAGTTACGACAGTGCTGAAAGAAGTGACTTATGACTGGTCCTTGCACTTATGACCATTGCAGTGTCCCCATGGTTACATATCCAAAATTTGGGTGCTTGGCAACCAGCATGTATTTACAATGGTTGCAGCATCCTGGGGTCATGTGATCGCCATCTGCAACCTTCCCAGCCGGCTTCTGACAAGCAAAATCAATGGGGAAACCATGTGATTCACTTAACAACCACAGTGATTCACTTAACAGCTGCTGCAAAAATGTCATAAAATCTGGTGCGGTCATGTGATACCTCGCCGTTTAAAAATGAATTTTCCAGGCCCTATTGTGGTTGTAAGTTGAGGACTACCTATAACTCTTTACAAAAAAACTAACTTCCCATCTCCTGAAATCAGATGGTGTTAAGGTTTGGTAACTTTTCTAGAAGGATATTGATCCCAAGGAAATAGGGTCTTCAGGACTATAAGCAAAGCTACCTGTGTATTATATCCATGTCCTTTCCTGCTTATTAAGGCCTCCTGGAGGATGATACATGGTTGGAACCAGGCAATGGTGAATGCAACCTTGAAGGAAGGGGTGGTTCTGCCAGCTCTTAAAGAACTGGTGGTCTGTCCTCTCCTCAAGGAACCATCAGTGGATCCAGTGGTGTTGGACAATTTTTGTCCCATCTCCAACCTTCCATTTCCAGGTTGAGAAGGTAGTAACTTTGCAGCTTCAGAGGGTCCTAGAAGAAACAGATTATCAAGACCCTTGTCATCAGGTTTCAGACCTGGATATAGTCACAGTCTAGAGCTGGCCCTGGAGGAAGGAGGAGAACCACCGCAACACCAATTTTGCAGTCAGTGTTGGTACGAAGGGAGAGTTCTAGCCAGAGTGTTTGATGAACCCATCTGTACTGGTTGGTGGGTTGGTCTTGGTTAAATTATATATTCTTTTGTGTTGTTTTTTACCTTGTTGTTTTTGTTTCTGGTTTTAATCCAGAACAAGGTGGATCTCAATGTGCAAGGTGGACGGATCTCAGTTTGCAAAGTGGACAGCTATATAAATTGACTAAATAAATATATAAATAAGCAAGCAAGCAAGCCACTAGTTACTTATCAACCTGTTCAGTGGAAAGAACTCAACCCATAGTATTTCTTAATATTTTTAGTATATCATGAATTTTTGAATGCATGATTCAATTGCATTAGAAAGGAGTTTTCTCACTGTTTCTTTTCCTCCTCAAAGGGCAATTGGTCTTTTATTTTTTCGATTAGAAAACGTCTACCAAAGAGGAAAAGATGGAATTAATCCATAAAGCCTTTTTACTGGTAGCATTAAGAGCTATCTTTTAAAAGCGGGACACCCACATATATATTTCCAGAATGAAACATTTGGGGTGGGGGGAAAGCAATCAAATATGAAGTTTTTTTAAAAATAAAACCCTGTATTAAATGTAGAACAATATTACATATCTCAGTTTCAACACAAGTGATATTTTAGGTGACTTGTCTATTACTTGAACTAGCTTCTGTTGAATTAGCTGACACATAAGATTCATGCCTCAGTACAAAGTATCATGCATTTTCCTTACAATTATACTTTTCTGCAGTTTATGCTAAATTTCCATTCAACAAAAACTTCTGAATTCAAAAATGTTCTTAAAGGAGCATTCTTTTGAAGATACAGTGAAAAGTAAAAAGTAATACTTTAAAAATCTTTTACTCTCCCTGCCCCGTGCATGCCCACATACACTTTTGAACTAATTAACTTTGCCCTTTTGATCGCCTCTAAAAGGAAATGCAACACAAAAGTATATTGGGGAATATTTTGCTGGTGTAGCATGCAGAGTTAAATAAACATAAGATTTCACTTTTTTCTTCTTGCTTCAGTAATATCTTGATAGAGCCATTTTTTTCAGAAGGTACCCTACTATTGAGCCAGTCTGAACCAGGCTAGAAACCGGGAGACTGTGACGTCTAGTCCTGCCTTAGGTACAAAGCCAGGGGGGTGACCTTGGGCTAGTCACTCTCCCTCAGCCCTAGAAAGGAGGCAAGGGCAAACCACTTCAGAAATCTTGCCAGGAAAACTTGTTCAGGCAGTTGCCAGGAGTCAATACTGACTTGATGGTACGCACACACACACTACTATTACTTGACTGATCATTTTTTACTCTCTGCAGTGCTTTTAATATAATTGAAATGTTTTCTGAGTTCACAAATAACATACATGCATGTAGTAAATTAACTTATCCTTCTCCCTTTTGTTAAGGCTAATATCTTTGTGTACCACAAGAATACTCTTTAAATGGAGGCCTGTAGTTAGTGGAGTCACAGCAAGAATCAGATCTGACTCTTTGTTTCATTAATTTGCAGGTACCAATGTCACTGCAGCATTTTCAGCTCAGAGACTAACTGAGCCTCAAGGCCCCTTGGTATGATTTTTTCCCCATACATTCATACTTTACTGCTAATATAAGTACAAATTTGCAAAGATGGTAGTAATGAATTAATACTGAATATCCCAATTTGGGTTGGGACTTTGGGGTGGTTTGTTTATAAAAGATGGAGTGTCATTTAGTTTAGGAGCATTATGCTAGTCCTTGCAGTTTTAATCATCTCATAAGAGCTGGATATGTTGCACACAAAGTATATCAAGCAGCAGGGATACTAAAGGGTGGAAGATGAGTATACATGGATAGGAAAAAGCATGGCCAGTGGAAAGAACGGTCATAGGTTTTTAAAAGTTTTTCTTAAAATTGCTGCTACTTACAAAAATATATGCCTCTTACTATTATACAGGTAGTCCTCATTTAGCAACTGCAGTTGGGACCGGAAGCTTGGTCATTAAGCAAAGCCATCGCTAAGTGAAAATCATATGACCATGACTGTGGTTATGATTTTACTTCAGTTTTCCTTTGCTTTACAGCGTCAGAAGGATACAATCCCAAACAGCTGAGTGAGCCCAAACTGCAGGGAAGAACAAGTTTTCAGAACTTGACTCAAAAGGAAGCTAGATAAAAGGGCAAATCTTATAGCCCTTTTCCCCCACTCCCTGGCCCTAGGATAATTAGCAAGAAGGGAATGAATGTTTGTATTTACATTCATTGGAGAGGAAGGGTTTGCAACAGAGCAAGCAGACACACAATGGGAAATACATACAGAAAGGAATGAGGTAGTACCGGCTGTTTGCCTAGCACACTCATGGCTGTGAGCCCTAAGCCGCTTAAGAGGCAAAAGAAAGCCTTTAAGTGTGAAACTGATTAGGGTCTTGTCAGTTACAGGCAGCAGCTGCCAGGATTCTAATCAACTAATAAAGGTCACAGAGCTGAACTTGTTAACTTGCCCTTAGCACCTTTTGGAGAAGCCCTGCACTGGGAGAAAAGCGGCTCAGGAAGAGATAGCTTGTTTAGGCAATCTCTCTGTTCTGTGAGGAGGGTGGAAGAAAAAAAAAAAGGTCAGGCACAGGACAATGCCTACTGACTGACTGTAATGGTGAACACATGACTGAGAGAGAGACTCTATAAAGGTTGTAAATGCAGGCATTGGTCACAAAGTTACTTTTTCATCACCATCCTAACTGTGAATGATCGCTATCTGAGGCAGTCACTAAATGAGGACTACCTGTTGTAACTAACTTTCTGTAAAAGCTTTTGAGTTCCTTTGTTCTTGAATGTAGCAGGGAGTTCAAACTTTTAGAAGAAAGTTGGTTCCTTAATTTCAAACCAGAGCACTGCTTAATGTCCATAAAAGGAACAATTAATACGAGTGTCTTCTAGGACAGGCTGTAAAGTCCAGTATACTGTACCACAGAAATAGGTCCTATTGTCTCTAGAGACTAATAGGGACTTCCTGATCTAATCAGAAGTCTGAGAAATATTTAAAATAAAGATATTCCATAGTATTTCCCTTTACTGTTAAAGATGGAGCCTAAGAGGCTAAATGGCTTTGCTAGTTTTTGTGGGTTTTGTTTTAGTGTTTTGAGAGGTTTGTTGGCATATTTTGTGTGAGCTATATTGTGAAAAGTAGAGATAAAGAAAGTGAAAGTGGGTAGAAAATTTTAAAGTTATTACTACAAAAGAAGCTGCCATCAAACTCAGCATTAAAGAAAAAGAGGGAGAAGCATTCTTCAGTGAGATCTGTTTGACTGGGTTCTGGATAACAGATCAGTCTTAACCCTGGGGTAGGGGAAGTGAAATGACTACTGTATACTGGGAAACCCTGGCAGTTACAAGAAAGGTAGTCCACGATCTATGACTGTTCGGTCAGCGGCTGTTCCAAGTTACAACGGCACAGAACAAATGATGGTTACCTCCAGTCCTCAGAGCTCCAGCCATCCCAGCACCCATGCAGTCACATGATTGTGATCTGTCTGCATGACAACCCATTTGCACTTATGACCGGTTGCCAACCACCCCATGATCACCTGATCACCATTTGAAACCTTCCCTGCCAGCTTCCCCAGAAAGTCAATGGGGAAACCGGCAAGGAAGGTAGCAAGTGGTGGGATAAGTCTTCCCCAACCATGCACCTTCCCAACCCCTCTGCCTGGACACATAGGTCATCTAGTTTCTTCATCTTCTGGTTTCATTGTCTATGGGGAGAATGCTACTTAACTATTTCTCTCTCTTCCTTCCTCATTTATTTAGCCATTGCATCCTTGTTTTATCAGAACATTTAGTGTTTGACTACTGCTTAGTATTTTTTTCAAAAAATCTGGATTTATACTTTCAGACACTTCCACACAGCCACTGTTTTTGCTTTCCTGACCTACACAGTCATACTTACATGGTTCCTCAAGTATGTTCACTGTGCTGCCCAATGAACTCCCAGATAGACTAGTGCTTCTTCTAGCTGGCCAGTGAGAGAGCACAAAAAGTGATGCTCCAGCCAATCCTTTGTTCTCCATCTTGTCCAATTCCTTTCCTCATGGTACTTGAGGGGAGAAGAAAAAGTCTGCTGTGTGGAAGAACGGGAATTGTTCTTCAGAAAGGACTAGAAAGGACAAGAGAATAATGGGAAGACTCAACGATGATGACTTCAGGAAGGGAGGGGGAATGCTGAGGAGCAAGGACAGGGCATGAATTCCACCAGTGGGAAATCACCTACTTTGCAGCTCCAGAGGAAAAGTTGCAAAAAATCATCACATTTCCTCTGAATCAGGAGTTCATCTTCTCACCTTGCAAAGACCTTCGCAAGCCTCATGGTGTTGTGGAGATGTGGAATGTGGCACAACCCTTGAATGTGGAAGGGGCTTCCCTGCCACAACATACAGCATTTACAGCTTCTTTAGGTTTTAAAATAACTGAAGTTCCTTGGTTATTTCTTCAATGTCGTAATGGAACATTACCATTGCCACAGGTTTGTCAGTGGAGTTTTTAAAATGTAGATTAAATAAACACTGCTAGGCGAGGTTTCCTAGTATTAGTTGTAAACAAATCAGCCATATCCTCCTGCAGCAGTCCTTGGTTGACCTGGTGCTTGAAGCCTCTGGCTGGCAAGAAGGGGAATTTCTGAATTGGACATTCTCCTTCTCTCCTTGGCATAAATTCAGCAACATTCATAGTTAAATGTGGGGCAAATAGATCTCTTGAGCAGCTTTTTTGTTACAGATTGTTATGCATCAGTTTTTTATTTCCAATGTATGTTCTTTTTTTAAAAAAAACTTTTCCTTTTTCAGGTCAATTCTGAGTTCTATACTGGTTGGTTAGATCATTGGGGCCACCCTCATAATGCTATACCATCATCAGTCGTAGCTAAAACTCTTAGTGAAATCTTGGCACATGGAGCTAATGTTAACCTGTAAGTTCACTGATATCTGTTTAAAAGGAGAAATGGGTTTCTGATGCAGCATCCCTGATTGCTTCTCTGCTTCTCTTTTCAGTTATATGTTCATAGGAGGAACTAATTTTGGCTACTGGAATGGTAAGAAGTGTATGTGTGGAACTGTTTGTCTTATAATTATAAGATTTCTTGTTTTCTAATCCTAAAAGCACAGGAACACTTACTATATGTCCTCCTTTGAAATAGAAGAGAATACTGGTCGAAACAAAATATAAAAGTGACAGAAGGAAGTTCTCTATGTTGGGGTTTCAGTTTCAGGAATATAGCACAGGTAGTCCTTGGGTTACGATAGCAATTGGGATCAGAACCTCTGTCGCTAAGCAATATGGTTGTAAAGTGCAACATCATGTGACCATATTGCTTAGCAATGACAATCTCAGTTGCCATCATAACCCCAGGACTGTGCAGGTGTGCAGGTGCCATGGGCATGCCATGGACAGGCATTCTGGAATGTGGGCAGGTGCTGCGGGGGAGGGCCACAGACAGGCACTCTGGTGCAGGGGGGGGGCTCTGGGCTGGCGCTATGGAATGCAGGTGGGCAAAAGTAGCAGGAGCAGGAGCAACTTCCAACTTTCTGCCGGCTTCCCCATTGACTTTGCTTGTGGAAAGCTGGCAGGGAACATCAGAAATCTTGATCATGTGACCATGGTTCGCTGCAACATCATCACAAGCCAGGCACCAAGTGCCCGGATCGTGATCATGTGACTGCGGGGACACTATGACAGCTGGAACTTCAAGGACCCGTCATAAGTCCCCCTTGTTTGGCACTGTTATAATTTTGCACAGTTGCTGGACAGGTGGTTGTAACCCGAGGACTACCTGTATGAATATTGTCTTAATGCCAGGCACTTAGGCTTAAATTACAACAGGGACTGGCAAGCTATATGAAGCAAGATAGTTAAATAAAGTGAGACAGTTCTACCTGGGACCATTATATTTTCTTTCCGCAATGTAGTCTTTCTCCTATTGGAAGACAAAAGTGTTAGGGCATATATATCACTTTATAAATTAGGAATGTCCCTGGCACTTCATTCATAATATTCTCTTTTAGATAAATAATGGTATAAAAAGCATAGAAAACAAGAACAATGCATAAAAGAAATTAAAGGCAGGAGAAAAGAGAAGGGGAACGGACATTTAACTGAATCTTGTTTACACCTACATTGTCCAGCATATATACTCTATATCTTTATAAACTACCCTGGCTTCTCTAGATATGTATTCTCTTTTGTTCTTTAAATTTTTCTCTTTAAGGATTTTATCTATGCCATCCAACCACAACTTACTCAGCCTTCCCCTCAACACATATTTGTGATCCTCATTCATTCCCTCTGCTGCTCCAAACCATCTCAATATATATTGGACTCACTTTTATTTTCAATTCATATTCATTCAGTACCAATTCATTCTTGACTTTATCTTGTCTTGCTTACCATACACAATTCTCAAGTAACCCATTTCCATTACATTCAACTTACGTTTATATTTCTCCTAATATACCTAGCTCTCATTTCCATATAACAGAAGTGGGCAGAAGCATGTTCTTATACCCAGCCATTTTGACTTCTTTCAACAAAAATCTATTCCTTGTGACAGACTACAGTATTACTCACTGCCTTTCTACCAGCATTTGCATGACTTAAAATTTCTCCATCTATTTTCTATTTATGCACCCTGGTAGAATTCTAGTAAGCATTCTACCAGGGTGCATAAATTCATCTATTTGCTTTGATATTTTGCCATTTGAAATGGTTCACTCCATTTTCCCTGTCAAACACAAGTACCTTCATCTTTGATACATTTTCTGATTCATAGTCCTCACTGCATCATACAGTCTCTCCAATATTTGCTGGAAATCATTCAGGTTTTCAGCTGTAGCTACATCACACATCATTGTCACTCTCTGCTTTATTTTGAACCACTCATTAAGCAATCCATTTATAGTATTCAGCAATCTTTAACTCCAGTTTTGCACAGAACATCTATATTTCAAGCTTAATCACTTTTATCATGCACTTTAAGTCAACAAATGTATACATATGAGAAATTTACCTGTTGAAATGCAAGAATGTAATCTGCACACATCCGCTGCCTGGTGTAAGGCTCCACTGCCCTTCTCAGATTTTGCTCATAGTCACTTCTTATACCCTTTCAACCAGAATTTTGCCAACATCTGCTCCAACACATTTACCAGCTAGTTCCCTATAGCTTTGGTATTACTCCTTCTACCTTTCCCTTTTTACATGGGAACGATAGTGATGTTCTTCTCTGCTACCCAACATGTCTTTGGTCAATCGAGATTTTTGCACAATGCTTTTAGTAAGAAAAGGAATGAATAAACTAGGTTACCAGTCATACCTGTGGCTTATACAATATTCTTTGTGAAGGATAAGCACGGTACCAATCACTTTGAGTGCATTTTGGTCAGTATACCACAAGTCCAACCAAAGCTTAGTTTTACTCCAAACATGTTCATCCTGTTATACCAAACTAGTATCTCAAACGTGGAGATTACCTTGCAAGTCAGTTTACTGTAGCGGATATTCTATTAGCTAAAAAGTACATGCAAGTACTGTCACACTGAGGACATTATAATGGCTCCTAAACCTATATAATTCAGTGGAGGCAATCAAAAGCATTCTGCTTACAATCTGCTTCTTCTCATAGGAGCCAATACACCATATATGGCACAGCCTACTAGCTATGATTACGATGCCCCACTGAGTGAAGCAGGGGATCTCACAGAGAAGTATTTTGCACTCAGAGAAGTCATTGGCATGGTGAGTTTCTTTTTCAAACATTGCTTCTGTATCTTGCTGTGGATTGGTTTTGACTTCCAATTTAGTACAAGGACTTAAAGCATTTGCTGTTACTAGATGAACCTGAGCCCTGCAATGGCCTGATTCAGTCAAGCAGTGTTTCTCAGATTTGATGACAAAATTCACATAAGTGTATATACATGTGCTGCTCTATCTGGGCTGTAAAAATCTGGAGGACCAATAGATTGCAGTAAAGAGACAGGGAAAAATGTAACACTTTGCTGCTACCTGGTAGTTTTCTGGATTTTTCCAGCCCAGATATGGTAGCTGTAGTGTGTAGCCCTTTGCAGGTTGGATATAAAGTATCTCAATTGTGACAGATGAAAATAAATATATAGTAATTAAGATGGTGCAAAAAAGAGGAAGTAAGGAATGTCTGGTAGAATCAAGAAGAATGTCTGTGCACATTTTTTTCTGCAAAATTACAATTTTTTTTAGTGAGATACAGTACTGTGCGAAAGTTTTAGGCAGGTGTGAAAAAATGCTGTAAAGTAAGAATGCTT